CTAGTTTACGCATTTGTTACTTTTAGGTTGGACAAATTAATTTATTATTATCAGGTTGTTCTAAAAAGTTGCCTTGAAAGCCTTCAGTTAATCTAAAACACTGCAGGGAGCGTACTGACAGCACCGGCCTTCTGCTCGACCATTTCTGATTTGCATAAAAATGTTATGGCTAAATTTGAACTCGTATATTGACTTTTTTTTCACAGTCCTTGAAATTTTGGGCCATTGGGACATCAATATCTCCAAAAACAATTAAAATTAAAAACTCACCATTTTCACTCGTCTTTCCTAACATTAAATTGAATTAGGATTCTAGTTTAGGGTAGATGCATCAAAAATGTTTGAGTGTTGACTAGTTAAAATATGAAAAACGAAACTGAAAGAATGAAATACTGGAGTTTCCAGATGGTACTGTAATTATAACTGAGAACATAATTTCTTAAATATATGTATATTTTTCATTTTTGAGACCTACTGCCCTGCAGGAGTCTAATTCAGGTGGCAGTGTAAAAACTTTAATACATAAAAATAAATGTAGCCAATCGAGTCAAACAGGATGATTTCACAGGAGGTGAACGCTCTTGCGAGGTCAAGCTGTGGTGTCTAAATGGCTGAACTGGTAATCTGACACAAGATGCTAACCTAATGTCACGACTGCTGCAGGCAAGCAGGGATCAGACGGTCGGCGTGCTGACTGTCTAAATGAGTGTTGCAAGAATTGTAATACATAAAAAAAATGCTACATTGTTGCATTTTTAATCTCTTTGTACATTTCAAACTAAACCTGGATTATTAGTCAGCTCCAGGTCTTGAAATGACAGGTAGAGCAGGACTTGAAAATGACAAATCTGAACAAATTTCTTATCTAAGTTAAAATCAAAATACCATCTGGAAACTCAAATTTTACTCAGTTCAGATAATAACACCTACTGATATTTCTGTGGCATGACTAATATCCGCTCCATCCAGCATGAAAATACCAATTTCTTCATTTTTTTTGACTGAGAATTTCACGTTAAACTATTCTGCATGCTTTATGTTACACTGTTTATTACAACTACATATGATTCAGAAATAGTCTTTTGCAATATGGCATTTTTTTATTAGTGTGTGCTCAAATTTAGACTTTGCAGGAACACTTGATTCTTTTTAAATTAAATTAAAATTCAGACACTGAAGACACCGGATAGATTAAAGGCCCTGACTTAGAGCAATGAAAAGTTCAGCCTTTTATCTTTTAACAGTGTTTAGGATATATATCCATCCATTTGCTTCCGCTTATCCTTTTCAGGGTCGCGGGGGGTGCTGGAGCCTATCCCAGCTGGCATAGGGCGAGAGGCGGGGTACACCGCAGCACGGTGGTTAGC